AGTAAGGACTTGTGTCGCTAAAGTTTCGTCGGAACGAAGTTACGGAAAATTAACTAACGAATGGAGGCGTAACAATACTATAAACAAACAATTAAAACTTTCATAGAGTGAACAATATGGCAGATATAAAAAAATGTAATCTTATCACTTTAACTTGCCATATCTTCTTCATTTGGTAGAGGCCAGACCCTCGTTTCTTCTTCTATGACGTAAGTTATTTTTCTAAATAAAAGAAACATAATAACTGACAGCAAGTACATGTACAAAAAACCTATGGCACAATCTATGAATCAAAGTAAACTGTTATAAAACATTTGGTAACTTAAATTATACACCCTAATTAGATGAAGATAAAACAAAAACCTCAATAAGAATTTTCGATAGTGTACGAAAATATTTTTCGAATGAAACAACACCCAAGTGATTTCCTTATCGTAAATAGTCATTTTGTTACTAATATTTTGGGCTAGTTCTACGACATAAAAATTACATCTTCATCTTAAATGTGAAAGTAGCAAGAATCGACAAATTTATATTTAAACTATCATGCAGTGCGTTTCCTTGTGTACGTTATACTCTTGTGACGTTTCATAACAGTCACACATTTGTAAATAATATAAATAATATCAATTTAATGATACATAAAAGTGTATTAACAATGACTGTTTTCTAAAACTTTAGAATGTTAACACAGTGTATTATATAAGCTCAACTGTCGAACTTTTCGTCATGATCAAGATAAATAATCCAGCATTCTGGTAGGTTAGTTGATTTAACTCTTTTCCCCCCTCGTGGCTCAGTGGTCTTTAGAGGGCATATAACGCTAAACATCGGGTTTTGATACCCGTGGTGGGCACAACACAGACAAACAAACAAACTCGTATGTGTTCAGAAGTGCTCTAGAGGAAGAAACGTATGCCCATGGCAGTGAGATAGTTTACTGATAATGATACTTTATACTGTTACGACAGCGGAAGTCATGTGACGCTGGAAGCATGCGCGCTGGTAACATGTCGTGAGATTCCAGAAGGACCATGACTGTTTCTTGCAACTCTAGTCTTTTCTAGGTGCCCTCTATTTTAGTGTATAAGCCTGACAAATAAAGCGGAGATTTATTTTGCATGTAAACAGATATAGAGACAGATAATTGAGTAGTGACCGTAAGTAAAGTGCGTGAATCGTTGTGAATTATAGCGTGTGTTAAACTGACTGTGGAAATTCTGTGTATTGCAAAGTTGTATTGAGAAAGAATAAGCTAGTTTATTTATGAAAGGACATGTATTGCTGAAGTTCCTCGGGAAGAATTTATACCGGAAATTAACAAACCACCAGAGACGTAACAAACTGGTGTCAGAAGTGGGATCGATAAAAAAAGAAGAAAAGGAAAAAAAAGATGGAAACGAGAAGTGCCAAATCAAACTACGACTTCGCAGATTTGATGAAAGCAATACAAGAACAGCAAAATAAACAAGAAGAACGAGAAAAGAAACTAGAAGAGAGGCTACAGCAGTGGTTGGATGACGAAGAAAAAAACAAGAAGAAAGGCTACAGCAGTGGTTGGATGAGAAAGAAAAAACAAGAAGAGAGGCTGCAGCAGTGGTTGGATGAGAAAGAAAAAACAAGAAGGGAGGCTACAGCAGTGGTTGGAGGAGAACGACAATAAACAAGAAGAGAGGCTACAGCAGTGGTTGGATGAGAAAGAAATAACAAGAAGAGAGACTACAGCAGTGGTTGGATGAGAAAGAAAATAAACAAGAAGAGAGACTACAGCAGTGGTTGGATGAGAAAGAAAATAAACAAGAAGAGAGACTACAGCAGTGGTTGGATGAGAAAGAAAATAAACAAGAAGAGAGACTACAGCAGTGGTTGGAGGATAAAGAAAATAAACAAGAAGAGAGACTACAGCAGTGGCAACTGGAACAAGAAAAGAAACAGGAAGAAAGACTCCAACAGTTGAGAGAAAGCCAGCACACACAAATGGAAAAGATTAGTAAATTTCAAAGTGAATTAAATACATTAAATGATGATTAACTGTCTTTCACACAAGGTGGATATATTAGCCATGACAACTCTAGTTTTTTCTAGGCGCCCTCTATTTTAGTATATAAGCCCGGCAAATAAAGCGGAGATATATTTTGCAGATGACAAATATAGAGACAGATAATTGAGTCAAGTGAGAGGTAATGACCGTAAGTAAAGTGTGTAAATCGTTGTGAATTATATCATGTGTTTAAGTTAAAGTGACAGTGGAAATTCTGTGTATTGCAAAGTTTTATTGAAAAAGAATAAACTCGTTTTATTTAAGAAAGGACTTGTATCGCTGAAGTTCCTTGGGAAGAATTTATACCGGAAATTAACAAACGACCAGAGACGTAACAATGCATTTCTTCTCTTACATTTTTAAAAAGGAAGCTTTAAAGATTTAGAAAAAAAATCAATTCAAGTTGACTATAGTGCTTGTGTTCATATAGTGTTTACCAATGTCCCTGTATTAATACAATGTACGCAAATGTCCATAATCCAATTTATTTGTATTTCCATACATGGATGTAGTGTATTTGCTTGTACAATAAGTTTCAAGTAGTACCTCAGGAAAACAAAGAAAGCAATAACAGGGAAGCTAAAAATTATAACGCAAGAGTACCGGATTTGTTAAGTATCTAGGCCAATAAGTCGGATAATTATGAAATCAGAAACAGAGAGACAGCGTTATTATGCATCACATAAAATGATTCAAATTTATTAACAATTAAATTTAAATGGCTATAAATCGTTCAGTATAACTTGGTCCCGATTTTTTATTTTTTATATTCATTTGGGAATACAGTAGTGTTTTCGATAATTCCTGTATGAACTTCAATAACCTCAAAAGACAATGAAATAAAATCTCATCAGTTCCAAAGTTCTTGAAATGTTGCAAACTCTGGATATACAGGAGTTGAAATGAATAATTTTGTTTATGTTTTTTGTTTCAGTTAAGCGAAGAAGCTTTGAATCATGGTATAAAGTAAAGTTTAAACAGTCAAGATTAATTTGATGTGTAGTATAGAAAAAGAAGCAAAAGATTGGATGTTGCTCTTCAGCAAATAACATCATTAGAGAAGAAAAAAACAACAGGATGAAGACAAAATACTGTGTTGCTCTTCCAGGAAATAACTCTCATTAAATAAGTAAAAGCAACAGGGTAAAGACAAAAGATTGGATGTTGCTCGTGCAGGAAATATCATCATTAGAGAAGAAAAACCATTGAAAATGTTTAAAGGAATGGAAAGTGTTGGTGATGAAGTTTCGAAGACTAGTTACAGACTCAGTTCAGTAGCAGTTTTGAGCATAACACTAACATATTAAATATATCCAAATTGAGGAGACGTTATTCCCTAGAAAACACTATCCTATCACAATATAGCATTGCCATTATTAACAGCTGCTATTCTACGAAACTGGTGCAGTCTAATATCAGTTAAGAGTTCATTAACATTCATATAGACGATCAGATAACTTGCACATTTTCCGCCAAACTTTTTCACATTTGCAAGCACAATCACAGTCGAGACGTATTTATTTGCTTGCTTCTAGGTTCGTATCAGGCCATCGTTTGACATTGAATGAAATAGTTCTCATGAGCCCAGCAAAATTCGTGGCTAATCCTAAAGATAAGATTCCAGTGCTAATAATAATGGTGCCTAACGTTCTTAAGATGAAATGTGGTTTCAATATTCCATCTTTTCCAAAGAATGCAGATTCATAAAGGGCACATCACAGATCGTGCTGGCTCAAAAGTGGCCGCTATGATACTAACCTCTATGAATGATAATTTCGGGAATTTTTGTAAAATATTTACAAGCAAATGTCTTTTTACGCCCAATCAACACTTTCTGATAATTTTAAAAATAATATGATAGATGTTATACTTTTGTATTCTAATAGCATCGAATTGTTTTATGTACAGTATACCATGTGGAACAAGAGATGCTATAACATCATGTATCGATTTTCTGTTAGCCTGTAACATCCTCTTTGAAAATTACAATTTTGTAGGAATGTTCTCAGACTTTGGCAAGCTAGGCTAGCAATCTGGTATACTGTTACATCTCTGGTCGTTGGTTAATTTTCCGTATAAATTCTTACCGAAAAACTTCAGCGATACAAGTCCTTTCTTAAATAAAACTAGTTTATTCTTTCTCAATACAACTTTGCAATACACTTAATTTCCACAGTCACTTTAACTTCAACACATGCTATAATTCACAACGATTCACGCACTTTGCTTACGACTTGACGCGATTATCTGTTTCTATCTCTTCAATCTGCAATTATTCATCCCGTCACAGCTTTTGCCGGCTTATATATACACAAATAGAGGGCGCATAGAGAAGACTACAGTTGCTACGAGCTAGAATCTCATGACGTGTTACTCGTGTCATGTTTCTTCCGCTGTCATAACAATATATATACTTATACTTACTCAGTAGATTTCCTTACACAACATCCTGAAATCATACTCAATGAGTGTTCAAATACTTCTGGTGAGGCCTTGTATATTTTTAAACTTCACATCTTAACCAATTTACCCGAACTCATGATGGCTCAGCAGTCAGTTTGAGGATATACAATGCTAAATTCGAGTTTCAATACTCGAGGTTAGAAGAGCTCAAACAATTTACTGAGTAGCTTAATATATTACACACAAACTTAACGGACACCCTGTACTATTACATCACAAACATTTATACATGCATGTCAAGCAGTTACTTATTTCATTTATCTCAGAGGCTTTTCTTGAAATTGTTCACTGATTATATATTAACCATTTAGTTACAGTAAATCTCCATAGCTTTGTTGAGCTTATCTATTGATTGTAAATATTAATATTGCCATTTTCATTACATTACTTTTAACAACTTAATCCTTACTTGAAGATAGCTTTTATATACGGAAACATCTGTTAGCTGAGTTCTTGCACAGATCTTAAAATCTGACGTTGATAAATGGAAACATCGGCTCATGATCTACATGTGCCGATTTTTCCATTTATCAACATTATATTTTAAGATCTGTGCAAGAATTCAGCTAACAAATGTTTCCGTATATAAAAGCTATCTTCAAGTTTTGCACAGCAAAAAAAAAAAACTTTTCAAGTGAATCCTTACTTATGAAAAACAGAATAATGTTTATAGAAGGTTGTGTACTTTATATTAACAAGATTTAAATATTTGAATCAGCAAGTCACATGACAACCACAACCAGTATATGGTCGCAGTGGAACAGACTGTATCAGAACTACATTCTGACATTTTTGAAGGTTACATGGGTAGTATGAGGGCCATTGAAAAGTTGTCACTGTTGAGAATCGTATATAACCACCCTTTCTGATACAAAATATTCATACATTCTAATCATAATGATATGTTCAGATATGGAATTTCCAAATATAATATACATGTTCTTAATGGTATTGGAAACCAAAATAATTTGGATCAACTTCAGGCACCAAAAGAATCTAGAAACTAATATGCAAAATGCACACCCTAGCAGTGACAAATATAATGCAATATATTGTGCTATGTGAAAACCCATGGGAGTGAAAGTCAATGGGAGAAAATGTTCACGTACCCTGGACACACGTGTGGCGCCCTCTGGCAGCGTGCCGGGCGGGTAACCCCTAACTACTTATATTATATTGGTTAAAACGAGGAAGGAAATTCACCAAGCCAGCGATTTTCATGGCAAAATAGAATGAGAACACGATGGTTTTGATTTAAATAAATTATCTATACTTTTACCTTTTCCTGACTTTCTTTTTGCTGTATTTCCATATTTATGTAAATTTATGAGTTGAAATGCATTATTTTCTTTATTTAAGCTCCAGTGTCTCAACAGCAAATCTGGAGATTTAAACATTAGGAATCGGGTTTTGATACCCATAATGGGTACTGCACAGATAGCCAATTTTATAGCTTTGTGTTTAACTAAAAGAAAACGATTCATTTTCTGCAATGGTTTACTTTAATAGTTGAAAAATATTAATCCAACATCACTGTTCAGATTTTCGGACATAATCTTGAATTTTGAGTCTTTTTGGTGGAATACTAAATTTTAAGTCATGAACCAATACACGTTCTTCTTTGACAGATTAGGAATCGCATTATCAGAATGAAAAACTAAACTCTCTCTCTCTCTTTTTTTATTTTCTTAGGTGATTTAATTTTGCTAAATAACTTTTCTTTATTTTTGTAATTATCCAGATAAGTAACTTAAAATCTTCAAAGGTTTGAGTGTGCTATGTTTAAACGATCTTAAAGTTTCACCACACCATTATCCAATGTAGCTACATTCAGTCATGCTCTATATGACGATCGTGCATTTTGACTTACAATGTAGTTTCAATTGGAAAAGTTCCATCATAAGAATGTAATATCTAATATCTTTATTTTTGTAATTATCCAGATAAGTAACTTAAAATCTTCAAAGGTTTGAGTGTGCTATGTTTAAACGATCTTAAAGTTTCACCACATCATTATCCAATGTAGCTACATTCAGTCATGCTCTGTATGACGATCGTGCATTTTGACTTACAGTGTAGTTTCAATTGGAAAAGTTCCATGTAATATCTAAGACACCATTTCTCCCTGCTTACTTTCCATAGTCCATATAGTGTACGATTTCAAAACTCTTATTTTTACAGTCAAATCGCACAGAAATCAATAGATCAATATCCGTTTCATTCTCCAGCTGGTGAGGTATATAGCAGTCGAACAACAGGTATGCATGACTTGAAGCCTTATCTTGGTGAACCACTAACCAGTTGGCCTCGTTTTCACACGAAGATCCTTCCTTATTATGTTTCCTGGGACATTTGGACGTTTATTACCTCTGATCTTTGTGTTCGTCGGTTCTTCCTGTCACAAGCAACCGACCTTTACCTATCAAAGCTGAAGTACAAGTTGTTGCTCCAAGATGACCAGATTTTTTTTAAGATGACCAGATGTTTTTAAGCCTTTAAGCACAAGCAATATCCTCGTCTTTGAAATTGTAAATCATCTATTGGAACACATTCTTTTAATCTCAGTTTATGAATATTTTGCATTAGAAAAGTTGTTACATAAGCGATCAATTTTTTGTGGCATAACACTACCTACACAAAAACAGACAATATTAGTTGTAGTTTTGATACATTCCATTCCCCCGCGAAGACTTTATATCGACTGCATTTGTCGCGTGATTTCCTGATTTGAATAACCAAAATCCTTTAATATAACAAATTCAACCCTGTATTTTAAAAATAAGCTTTACTTATCATTGTTTCATTACTTGAGTTTTCATCAGAAGAAGTTTAACTTATTACCAACACTTATTAATCTCTTAGAAACTGATATTACAACTAATTCTTTGTTAAGTAACTACCACTTAGTACTTAACATCAGTTTAGTAATTACTACTTAGCACATAGTAATAACACTATACAAGCAATTTTAACCACTCGTTAACATTAAATAATAACACAAACTAGATGTTTACTAACAACATCACTTAGTACTTAAAATCAGCTTAGTAATTACTGCTTAGCACATAGTAATAACACTATACAAGCAATTTTAACCACTCGTTAACATTAAATAATAACACAAACTAGATGTTTACTAACAACATCACTTGGTACTTAACATCAGTTTAGTAATTACTACTTAGCACATAGTAATAACACTATACAAGCAATTTTAACCACTCGTTAACATTAAATAATAACACAAACTAGATGTTTACTAACAACATCACTAAGCGTAGCAAATACATCTTTCCTTACCTACACGGTTGTCGACAGACACCTTTACAGTAGTGCAGTAAATTCTTCTCTTTCAGAACTTTTCCAAAACATCTGTCCTTAGTATCTCCTGATTTAAAGGCAATATGGAAGACGAGATGAACGAAATGTTTATAACATTCGAGTTACTTTCATAATAATACAAAACTCATAAATTTAAACAGTTATGTGAATTATTTTATAAAACATGACCAATTAATTTGTATGACCTTACCCGTGTTAATAATTTTCATCGTCTTGTCAACAGATAAGTCAATTGCTCTGAACTTACAAGAACCCAAATGTGACGACTGCATTCGAAATATTTCTATGCATCAATTAAATATTCTCTTTTAAAAGAAATCAGCAACACAAATTATCTATATATTTTATTTCGTTATTAGTATATTAGAATTACCTGATCATATAGTTACATCTTTTCTTTCTTTTATACAAGTTTAGTTATCCTTAATTCAATTAACGCTAGTACAAGATCAAGCGTGTTCATTACGCCCTCCTAGGGCCTCATATATTTAGACTTGTGGATAGAAAACTTAACAGCTAATATGAAACTTTTATACACTGTTACGACAGCGGAAGTCACGTGACGCTGGTGGCACGTGATGAATTTCTCGAATGATCATGAATGATTGGGGAAGCTCGAGTGTGATCCAAATGCCTCTTTGTTAGTATATAAGCCTGGCAGAGAAAAACCGATGGATGGTCGATAAAGTGAACAGTAGTCACGGCAAGTTTCGGGTAATATACGATTCTGTTTCTGTGTTTTTGCACTCGTAGAGAGCGAGCGAAGTTATCGAGATTGTGAATCGCAGGATCGTGATGTCCGTGCATTAATTTGAATTGCAAGCCAAAACAGGCGAGTAACCACAGATCAATTGACCGCAAATTTCAACCTGGGACGAGAGCAGCCAGTTTCATCAAAAATGGTCCGTCGATAACTCCATAGAACGGAATACCATAGTCGGGTTGCAGTGCAAAGAGCACAGGCTATGGACTACCGAGCAGTGGAGAAATGTGATATGGTCAGATGAATCATCCTTCACCATGTTCTCGACAAATGAACGACTGCAAGTGTGGTGCCAACCTAAAGAACTCTACAGACCTGAGTGTTTGGTTCCAACAGGTGGCTCGTCCATTAATTAAGCAATAATCCTAGCACAAATCAATTAACTGCAAACTTCAACTTTGGGCGAGACAAGCTAGTTTCATCAAAAACGGTCCGCCGAGAACTCCAAAGAGCGGGATACCATAGTCGGGTTGCAATGCACAAACCGCTCATCACATGGGCAATGCACGATTGCGCGTCTAATGGTGCAAATATGTGGTGCAGACAATGAACTACCGAGCAGTGGAGAAATGTGATATTGTCATGTAAATCAGTGCTTGGTTCCAACAGGTTCTGATGGTTCCTTAATGGTGTGGGGCGCATTTCCCTGGCATGGTTTGGTGCACTCATACCCTTTGAAGGCAAGGTCAATGCAAATCGTTACTTAATGGTACTGAGTGATCATCTTTGTCCCTTGTTACAGCATTTCTGTCTTGCAGAGAGGGATGTATTTCAAGATGACAATGCTCCCGTCATAGCAACAATGAATTATAATTGGCTTTTAGTTTATGTGAAATAGACTTGGTCAACTGGGAAGTGAACTTTATCATGTATGTCGTTCTATGCAGTATTTCGTCTGAATATGTAATAACACAGGTTAAAGACATTATAATATGAGATATTTAAAATAATATTTAGACATTAATTTAGAAAGAAATATCATACAATTCATATTTTTATGTAAATATCATAACTTAGAATTGAATAGATCTTTCATTTTTAAAATTATTCTAAGCTGACTGACACAGTCTGAACATATGACTGTTTGCTGTGTGTTGGGCTGTATGTACACTAAGTGAAATGTCCCATCAGATATTGTGAATATATATTTATTGTTTTGTATCACCATATAAAGTCAAAGAACTATGTTTACTGACTTTTAATTTTCAATGACATACAAAAACTGTAGTTAAAATATGGTGAACATTAAATTTATGTAGACAATTTATGATTATGTCGAAGTTGAACCATATATTTTTAATATTAAGATTAATGTAAATACGTGATAGGGTTTTATCATTTTGTATAAAGACTTCTTGAACCTACGTGTTTTTCTGACATAATGAATATAAATACATAGATAGCGATAATGTGTTATCGTTAATAAACATATTTTTAGAAACGTACAATCAAATGAAATATATAATTGTATTTAACTGATTTGCGTCAATACACATTTAGTGTTTTGTAAAAAAAACAACTCATATTTATGTAGAGTTTATTTTCAATGTTAATTATAATGTAAATACCTAGATAGAGACAGTGTATTATAATTGATTTTTATTTTAATAAAAGTTTTCCGTATGTTCAAACGAAAGTGTTATCTGTTTTAGCTAATACTAGAGGTCAAAAAATTTCTAAACTTGACATTTTGCCCTGTTTATCTTCTAAAACCAAGCCTGTCAGTTGCCTTGAATATGAAACACGTCAGAGTTGAACATTAACTTCTGTCAACCCATTCTCTTCTCATTAAAAGGTTGACATACCGCTAGCTGTAAGTCAAAAATGGTGAAGTTATTATTTGGTGATTGTATAATTTCATTGTTAATGACGTCAGTTAGAAATAACACAAATGCAATCAACTTTGTAGGTCGTACTTGAAATTGTTGTTTTGAACATACGTATATGTGATTCAAGTTATATCTCTAATGAAGAAACAAATTCAGTCCTCAAATATGTAAGTTCTATTCTATAATAGTAATTAATCACATTTATTATGTAGAAAAATTATTTACTGCGGAGTTTATTAACAAACAAAAATTATAATCTGTATGTTAATTTATTCAACATTTATAAAAAACATTAGGTATTGTTACGGCAGCGGAAGTCACGCGACGCTTGGAGCCTGCGCGCTGGAGTTCCTCGAAGGATCACGAAGACCCGAGTGCATTCGAAACGCCCTCTCTTTTTAGTAAATAATCCTGGCGAGAAAAACCAGCGGGATTGAAGAGATAGATAATTGAGTCAAGCGAATAGTATGCACCGTAAGTAAAGTGTGTGAATCACTGTTATTTATAGCGTGTGTTATAAAGGTTGTTAAATTTAAAGTGACTGTGGAAATGCTGTGTATAACAAAAAGTTGTATCGAGAAAGAATAAACTGGTTTAATCAAGAAATGACTTGTATCACTGAAGTTATTCAGTAAGAATTTCTACTGGAAATTAACAAACAAGCAGATACGCAACAGTATGATAAAATTCTTTCATGACAGACAATTGTAAATTATTTGTTTCCTTCAAATGAATGTATGATAAAAACTGACATGTGTAACACTGTTATAATGATTTTATCGTTAAGTAATAGTTTTACTTGGGACATTGATGACATAATCGTATGTTGATACACATTGAAATCAATTTTTTAAATAATTCAATTTATATGTAGAATACTGTTACGCCTCCAGTCGTTAGCTAAGTTTCCGTAAATTCTTTCCGACTAAACTTTAGCGACAAAAGTCCTTTCTTAATTAAAAGTGGTTTATTCTTTCCGAATACAACTTTACGATACACTTAATTTCAACAGTCGCTCTATAACAAACGCTATAACTCACGTCTCACGTGGCCAACAATGTTCTGTCCGCATACATTCAATTACTTATTACCTCCCCGTCCAGGTACATTAGGGCTATCCTCCATTGTAGGCCTTCCAATACTCGTTCCATCAGCCTCTCAAATGTTGCTGGAGCATTACTGAGCCCGAATGGCAACACTCGGTATTGCCAGAGACCTTGGCCATAACTAAATGCTATCTTGGGTCTATCTGCTTCAGCTATTTTTACTTGATAGAAACCTGACTTTAAGTCCAGAGTTGAAAACCACCTGGCTCCACTTAGGGCATCAAGAGTATCATCAATTCTTGGCAGTGGGTATGAGTCGTTTACGGTTATGCTAAGAGCCCCGAAGTCCACACAGCAACGTTGGGTCCCATCCTTCTTCTGTACTAATACAACGGAGCTGACCGGGGACTATCTGATTTCTCAACTATCCCTTCGTTAATTGGGCCATCCATGACCTACTCCATC